GGGAAGGGGGGAGAAACAAACCCAGAGAAAAGGAGGGGGCGCCGGGGAGAGAAGGAGGAGGACGAGCCTTTGGTTTTAACTCTCCCCCACCCTTTAGCCGCCACTGGTGAGGGCGGGGGCAGTTCCAGGGAAAGACGGCACTCCTGTCTCTGTTCAAAGAGCAGACTGAGAAGGGCAGACGCACGACCCTGCGTAGGAGCTGTCCTGTCGGCTCGGACACTTCTTTCCAGAAAGGGAGCAGGGCGGGTGGCTGCAGTTAAAACCAAACCAAGAGCCCTGTGTCACCCGGACGACTTGCCGTTTAGTGTTAGGCACAGTTGGCTGTTCTGCTGGGCTGCTGTTCTTTAGCAAAAGCGTTAGTCTTTCTCGGTTGCTCTTGAACTTGGTGGCAGTGGCTGAGGTTGGGGCAGCAGCAGCAACAAGCTGGGTGTCAAGCTTTGCCCCCCCCCCCCCCTCGGCCAAAAAAAAAAAAAAAAGGAGGCTTTTTTCCTGCCCAAGCGGGAGAGCAAGAGAGGGCTTCGGGGCAGTGGTCCCTGGTCCCCCTCAGCAAAGGGGAAAATCCAAACACTAAAATGAAACCTTACATGGATCGTGGTCCTACATTATAGCTCTCCTCCCTCTTCCCCCCGCTCCCGTCGCACACGCAGAAATATAATAAAATAAATTTTGTTTCATCTGCCAGAGAAAATCTGCCTAGGAGGAAAGTTTCAGCAGCCTTCCCCCTCCCTCCCCGGTTTGGGCATTATATCCCCCTTGACGGGCAGAAGCCCTGGCTGGATAAATGAGTCACTACTGTGACGTTCAGCCAGTCCAGGCCCGCGCATTGAGGTCTGAACGGTGGATCTCCTGGCCTGAAACCTCCGCTTGGCAAATGGCCCAGGTGAGTCATTCCGACCATTTTCATTGCTTTCTTCCCCCGAGCGCAACCTCCCGCTCCAGCCCCGCGCCTTGCCTGGAAATCGTCACCTTAGGAACCGCCTGGGCGAGTCAATAACAGGTGATCACCACGGGAGATTTGGCGACTGAGCCACAAATGGCTATGGGTCACAAATCTTCGGCTGTCCTCCTGCCATTGCTTTAGACTAGGTGGCGATTTTCTCTTGCACATTTACGCCACTTGTACAACGCTGTTCTGCAAGGGCATCTCTGCTCTCCTGAAATCAGGCTACCAGTTGTACACCACGAAGTCCTGCTGTTGGCTTTATGGAGGTTTCTCAGCATAAAAGAGTCATGAAAATGCGCAGCCTTTCTTGCTTTCCCCAGCGCTGATGGTGGGCAGGTGTGGTGGGGAATAACTTCATGGGTAGAACTTAAAACCAGCAAATCAGGAGATATTTTTTCCGATGAATTAAAAGGTGGGCCTGGGAAGATATTGATTTTCTGTGGGTTGAATCCAAGCTGTAAATGTATCTTCCTTAATAACTTGCCTCCCTCTCACTGACTTCAGTCAAAGAAAGTAATTTAATCTGGATCTAAAGCCAGATCTATTATATAGTGCTATCCGGTGGACATTTCCTCGGGAGTAGCTACCTTTAAGAGGTCTAATTCCCCAGAAGTGAGAAAGAAGTGAGCATTGGACACCACATAGAAAGATGGTGGCTTCTCAACTCAACCCAATTCCTTGTCCTCTGTACCTTCGAACGCCCGCGCCTGAGGGCCGCTCTAATCAACCACTGTGCTGGAGAGTAAGCCACTTGGAGAAAATAAGGTTCACTGAACTGAACTCCAGGTATTGGACCTGTCCCAGTAGAGCCCATTGGACTAACGGCTGCGGGTGAGGTTGCCAGCTGATTTCCAGTGGAGTAAAATTGGCTGAAAGCCAAGCATTTAATTCTGTTAGGACTGTGGATGGTGTCTCTCCAACCTGCGTCCTTTTCACTAGTATCCACACTATGTGTCTGTGTTTACCTGGGTGCACTGCCGCTGGAATCGGTGAGGGCTCCTGGAGTTTCCCAAATGTGAGCATCCATTTCAACGGAGACCGAGGAAAAGATGGCAAGGAAGCGGCATGGAGCCGAATCTCTCCCAGATGGGGCAGGCAGGCAGCACAGCCGCGGCGCTAGGAAAGCACGTTCCCCTTCTTGCGCGGGAGTTTCCTTCTGGGTCAGTTCGAATCGCAGGCGCAGCGATTGGAATCCGGATCATCTCTTAGGCGAGTTTTCACTGGGGGCTAAAGAAGCTTGAATCCAGAACACCATTTCTGGTTTATTTGGGATGGCAAACCTAGCTGTTCGTTTCTTTGGCATTCTTGGGATTTCCATGAAGTCTCCATCAGGCGGAGATCTGTCCCTGTTGATTCGCACTAATTTGTAGTCCCATTAATAAATATTGATGAAAGAAAAACGAAACAGTTTTTTAAAGCAGTGACCTCCATGTTTTAAAAATATGTTTTAACTCACTAACAAAAGGCTCCTTCTTCTTTGTTCCCTGCTGCCAACCCCCTTTTTAAATCTGGCGTTAGAATGAAGTTAAATCCTTGATTCAAGTGAAGGTCTCAAATCAGCAGGAGAGAACAAGAAAGGAAAATACGCCATTAAAGAAATAAAAGAGAAATACATCGGTGTGTACATTGTTTTTTACATCCAGTCACATTGTAAATATGGAATAAAATGCTTTGGAAACACCTTTGCTGTAGAAGAACTTTGATACTGTAGCCATAGCTATCATTTATATAATACACTGATAGAACTCCGTGATCCTAAATGCATTATCTAGAATAAAGTATTTTTTAAATCAAGAGGCATTATTACAAACTTTGTAAGACCAATTAAGGTTTGTAAAGCCAATTAAGTCTATTGGAATGTTAACGCCCACAGTATGGCAACAATCTTGTGATGGAAATCTAGAATATTTTACAAATCTCAGCTCAATATGGTCCAGAGCAAATCCCATAAATTTAAATTTGTATGATTTGTATGATTTGCAATCCTTTTGATATCAGCTGGTAAATAGGACTAGATATTTAATCTCTTCCAGATCCTAAACTTGTGTATTCATAAGTCACTTGCAGGGTTCCTAGGGCCTTAATTTAATGGTGGGCCTGGGGGTGGGGGGTGGGAACTAAGATGTATAGATTAAATTATTGATACGGAAGAAATAGGAGTGAGTTCCCAGATTATGCCTTCGTTTCCCTCTCCCCATTAATTCAGCAAAACTACGTCATCTGCTCAAAATATATTATACTAGAGCAGAGCAGAGTCAGTGATGAGGAGAAGGGGGAGGAGGATCCTCGTGAACAACAGTAACAGTTGTTTTGGGACCATGAACGTTTCCGATATTGGGCCAAAGGTTAAGAAATCACAGCGAACTAAAACACCAGAGGACAAAAAATTGATTGGCTAACAATTTGAGCAATGAAAAAGACACCGCGGGTTTGTAATCCTGCTTTTTTCAAAAGATTTTAACCTTCCACGTTAAGCATGGCACCTCAAGGGCATCGCGGCCCCAGACATTTTGGTAGGGGGAGGAATTCTCACCGGAGGGAGATGAGCCTTGGCCCCGGGGGGGGGGGGGCGTAGAAGGGAAAGAGACGACGCCACCGGGCAGCCGCTCTGCTTCTGCAAACGCGCAGCGCCTCCTGTTGTTCGGCTGCGGCGCCAAGTGCGGACGCTGGGCAGCGGGGCGAGGGAGAGGATGCCTCCTCCGCCCTTCCGACGGCTGGATCTGAAGAGCCGGCGTCCAACGCCCAACCCAGCCAAGTGGCCCTTGGTCACTGACTTCCCTGGGCCAGGGGAAGGACGTACCGCTCGGCACTGTTACCACCTGGATTCGGGGGCTTTTCAACGCTCGCCCCACTTGCAAAGGAGCCCACGAGGGAGGCGAGCAGCCAGAAACGGGCTACTGGTGCTGGTGGTGGTGGAGGTGGGAGGCAGGCTGTCAAAAGCCTTCTGGCCCAGCGTTTCCCGATGCCTCGGAAAAGTGGGTGTGCTGTTGTGGGATGGTGCCGGGGCTCTAGAGAGCTGGCGTCTCTCCCCACCTCCATCCTGAGCACTCCGGCAGACGGTCCTCCTTTACCTACCGTTTTCTCCAGAGGATAATTCAACATTTTGGACGGGGGCAGTGGCGGGGAGGGGTGTGTGCCCGAGAGAGCTCCTGGAGAATCTTGAGTTATTTTTTAGGAAAGAGGGGGAGGGAAGGAAGAGAGAGAGGGTCCCTCGACAGAAACTGCGGAGGAAATGCCTGATCTGGAGCTGAAGCAAATGAATAAAACATGGGCGAAGGTTGCCTCGTTAAAGTTTTTTTCTGTGATACAGCTCTAGTGGGGAGAACCCGACCTAGCTCCCCCGAGCCCAGGAATGCTCGCACCGCCGTCAGCACTGCCCGTCTTGAGCCAAGCAGCGCCGCCCAGCCATCCTTGCCGCGATCCAGAGCTTGACTTCGCTACTGCTACGCTCGGCACGGGGGTGGTTGCTCGACGCGGTCCGAACATTGCTAGAGGCAGCGCCTAGCCAAGCGCGACTTACCTCAACACGGCTAAGCGTGGTTGGACCGCTTAAGGCTTAAGGCTTGCTTAGGAGATCCAGGGAAGCCCAGGGCTGTAGGCTAGACTGGGAAGTCGAAAAAGGCTCCCTGAAAGAGGCAGGGGAGGCAAACCAGTGCAGGACTGCGGCCAAGGAAACCACCTAGCTGCGTCCACGTGGCGTTCTGCTCAGTTCCGGGGAATCTTGGTCTTCGCTTTCTGAGCACTGAAACGCTGCTTCTGGGACAAGTCTTGAACTTGTTCCACCCCGGGGATCTCTTTTCTCTCTCTCTTGCTAGAAAAGCCCCCCTCCCCGGAGGTATCTAACAGCCCCATTCGGTTCTCTCTTTTCCACCTCACTCAGTTGCGCTGTAGTGTTGGGAAGCGGTGGCTGAGAGAACAGGAGGACGGGAGACTCCCGCATCTTGCTTAATGCGACGTTCACCATCCCTTTATTTGAACGACGAATGGAAAGTCGGACCTTGGGCACAGCAAATGTATTTGGAAGGAGAATCCCTACTAAACCTATTGGCATTTTCGTCCAAGGAAAAGCATGAAAGAATTAACAGTCTACTAGAATGTACTTCCCTTGGATTTCTAAAAGGCACTTTTCTAATATTAGTTTTTAGATTGGAGAATCCAGTGGCGACCACTACACACACACACACACACACACACAAGGAAGGAAGAAAGGAAGGAAGGAAGGAAGGAAGGAAGGAAGGAAGGAAGGAAGGAA